GCTGCTCCGGCGCCTCCTTTTGTTTGTCCCTCACTGCACCACTCAGCCTCCTCCGCCCCGGAAGTGACGTCACCGCCAGGCGCGAACGCGGCGGCTAGGGCGTCGCCATCTTTATGAGGGGAACTCTAGCTGCGCCTTTACCCGCTCTCGCCCCCGCGCTACCGCCCTGTTGCTTCGGGGCGGAAGTAGTGGAGCCCGGGCTCGGCCCCCTTAAAGGGACAGGGACTGCTGCAACCTACCGGGTGTACTTGGGAACGAGAGGTGAAGCGGCCCAGGCGGGGGTGAGTAGCTGTGTCGGAGCGTCACTGCCCGGAGGTCAGGTGCCGAGGCTGGGAGGGCCTGCTAACGGTTCCGAGCTTGGTTGTGCTAGAGTGCTTAATGAGTTTGACGCTACTAAGGATAACGGAGTTGGCTGCTCGGAATGATTGAGCCGCCCGCGGGAATCAACTGCGCGTGCTGCTAGCCGATCCTCGCTCGGACATTGGAGCTGGTCCTCTCTGCACCCAAATCCCCCTCCCACGACCGCGCCGGTGGAGATGGCACCCGAGACAACAGGGAATTCTGGGCAGATCTGGGGTTGGAACTGGGTCCCCAGGCTCCAGCTCTGCAGCTCCATGAATCCCCCTGGGTCCTCGAAAATTCCCTGGCTGATAACAGTAACGGCAACCAAATTAAAAAATAATCCATACAATGGAATACTGTGCAGCCATTAAGACGAAAAATGTTGAATATGCACTAATATAGGGCGACTTCTAAGATACCTTAGGTTAGAAAAGGAAGCAACAGAAAAAACAGCGTTGATTCGTGCTGTCCATCTTTGCGTAGAAGGACGCGTGAGGGTGAGGGTATCTGCGGGTGTGCCCGCCAGCTGTCTGATAAGATGCATAAGAAGTTAATTGCGGTTGTCTCCGACAGGAGAACTGGGATCCTGGCTACCTGGGCCAGGGCGAGAAATTTACTACCCTGTGCAGAGGTAGATAATTAAAAATAAGATGATGAAGATAGTCACGGCTCCCATCCATCACGTGTTAAGCCAATGCCTGGTTTCACTTCTCCTGTTGGGAGGTCTTATTTTTCCCTTTTAATAGAAAAGAAAAGAACCTTAGAGAGCTTAGGAAACTTAGCAATATCATAGCCAGGGCCAGGCGCGGTGGCTCACGCCTGTAATCCCAGCACTTTGGGAGGCCGAGGCGGGCCGATCACGAGGTCAGGAGATCAAGACCATCCTGGCTAATACGGTGAAACCTCGTCTCTACTAAAAATATTTTTAAAATTAGCCAGGCGTAGTGGCGAGCGCCTGTAGTCCCAGCTACTCAGGAGACTGAGGCAGGAGAATGGCGTGAACCCAGGAGGCAGAGCTTGCAGTGAGCGCGCAGATCTCACCACTGCCCTCCACTCCAGCCTGGGCGACAGAGCGAGACTCCGTCTCAAAAAAAAAAAAAAAAA